GCCGCCGCGCGAGTGAATCGAGGCGGCGGGCCCATGCGGAATCGGCCGGCCATTGCCCGCGGCGCGGCGGGCGGCGGCGGCAGGAACCGGCCCGCGCCCTACAGCAGGGTGAGTTCGGGGACACTGGGTAGGTGGGCGGCCCGGCGCTGCAGCCGCTGAGTCCTGGCGGTACTGCGGCTTCGGGTGGGCGGAGGCGAAGTGGCGCGGCGAGGCTCGGCCCCCGGTGGGGACCTTCCCGTCGCTTTGTCCGAACTTTGCTAGGGCTCATGGCGGCGGGAACTTAGGCGAGAGAAGCAGTGATAATGTGCGGCTCCTCTCGGCGCCTGAACCCCGGGGCCCTGCCCAAGGGGAGATCTGGGCGACTGTGAGACCGACGGGCAGTCTGAGAAAGCGAGGCTCAAGGGTCTGTTTCTGCTTTTCTTTCAGCCGAAGCAACTTCCCGACAAGTGGCAGCATGACCTTTTCGACAGTGGTTTTGGGGGTGGTGCCGGCGTGGAAACCGGAGGAAAGTTGTTGGTGTCAAACCTGGACTTCGGAGTATCAGACGCAGATATTCAGGTAGGAGCCCAGAGCTTCCCAGTGAGCTCCGCACCTCCCACAGAGGGGGATATGCTCCTGAGTCCCCACCCTTCTTGGATCCTGAGCCCAAAGGCGATCATAGTTCCACCAGGGATTGTCGGGCATAAGGGAGCTCAGTGGCAAGCAGAGCATACTAGGGTGGTGGGTGACAGTAGGTTAGTTGGCCCGAGGAAAGACCCTGTGGGGCCCTGGGGAGGACCCCTTTTCTTAATGAAACTTCTGTGAGTATAAGTCATTCGCTAGGCCTTCCAGTTTCCAAAAGGCACCATGATTGGGTGAACATGAGGAAGGATTCTTGAGGCTCCTATCTTCCTAAATTTTGTGTCTGTTTGAGTGAGCTTTCTACGGCCAACGTAGCATAGAAGGAAGGGATCATAGGGTTGTAGCCTTGATCCAGTCTGTTTGCCTTGAGCACTGTATCTTACTACCTTTCCTTAATATTACTATTGAATGGTTTTTCAGGATTGTCTTAGATCGCAGTCCTTCATTTACTTTTTTGATTGGACTCCAAAAACATTTAAAGTTTTTCAGTCAAACTTGGGGAATGAATCTTGGAGATGGCTGGGTCACAATGCTGGGCATCCCCGGGTTCTACCTCCCTGAGCCCAGCTATTTGGCCTTAACGTGGGAGGACAGCGAAAGGCAAGTGAACCCTCACAGTGCCTCAACGCTTTTCTCAAGGTGGTTTCTGCAATGCGCTGGAAACCACTTTTGGTGAACACGTTCCGCTGTGTGTTTACAGTAGCTCGAGTAGCCCCACACTCTGGGTCCGCTCTCCAACTCCCAGCCTGCCTGAGGTCAGGGCAGTTTCCATGGCATGCTTGACTTTGGTCAGACTTTGCAGCAGGCTTAAGTAGGAGGAGAGGGAAAGGTGAAACAGAATCTGTCTTTGGGAGAGGGGCTGGGGTCAGGGCTCCTGAGCAGTGGGCCCTGTGGGCTTTGAAATCTGTTGGGCAGTCCTCACTTTTGCTCTTGGCCTTTGCTATTTTGTGAAATAATCCTTGGGTGTGTTGTAAGTTTTCTTCCATTGAAAAGGATTTAATGCTGTGCCATATGTTAGTGTTGCAACTTCATAGTACAGAAAGATGTTAGGTCCCCAAATAGGCAGGGGCTATCCAACCCAGGTGTTTTTGGAAGTTGCTTTTCCTCCTGCATCATCTCTTTTCTTGGCTTCTGTTGGCACTCCCCTACCCCCCTTGTAGAGGGCTGCCAAGGAAGACTCAGAAAGCAGTCACATTCTCAGGGACTATCCCTGGGCATTCGAAGGAGAATGCCTCAGTGGCTTTATTAACCCTTGTTCTTTCTGGCTCCTAGGAACTCTTCGCTGAATTTGGAACACTGAAAAAGGCAGCTGTGCACTATGATCGCTCTGGCCGAAGTTTAGGAACACTGAAAAAGGCAGATGTGCACTTTGAACGGAAGGCAGATGCCCTGAAGGCTATGAAACAGTACAATGGGGTCCCTCTGGATGGTGAGTCTGGAGCTAGGCCCAGGACACCTGTGGGGCTTGTGGAGTTTGGGGCTGGCACCTGTCCCTGTAGGAGTATGGGTGGCCCCTTTGGCTGAGGACACTTTGCATTTGCCCCTTTGTCTCTCTCTTCCATTCTGCCACCTCTCATGCTGCCCCACACATCTGGACCAACCTCTTGTGAACCCCCATCCAGCAAGCTACATCCCTCCCCTCCTTCAGCTCCTTCCGGAAGATTCACTTCTGTGAAGCCTTCTCGGAATCGCCATAGTACACCTGAGTGCGGGGCTGTAGTCGTAAAGACAAAGGTACCTGTTCTTCTTCCGTCAGGTCACCCACACCTGTCCACCCATAAACACCCCAGACACCTGACCAAACAGCCCACCTATCTGGTGGGAGAAGGAGTGAGGAGGTGTTGGTGGGGTTCTTTTATTGCCATTCTGTTCTCCCACCAACTCTCCAGGTTGTTTCCCTTGTTGGGGGAGCTGGAGATGTACTGAGGCCCTTTCCAGAGCTTGCATGGAGACCAGGGTATGGTGCCCCTGGGTTAGCTTCAGAATCTGCAACGAGACCTCTTGTATTCTTTACCACAGGCCGCCCCATGAATATCCAGCTTGTCACATCACAGATTGAAACACAACGAAGACCTGCACAGAGGTGAGTTCCAAGCTGTCTGGGGATGGGTATTGATTATTAGCCCATGGTGTGTGTTCTCAGCATACTCCAGTCCTTTAAAAGCCAGATAGCTCAATGAGTTGTTTTCCTTGCTAGCATAAACAGAGGTGGCATGACTAGAAACCGTGGCTCTGGAGGTTTTGGTGGTGGCGGCGGCACCCGGAGAGGGACCCGTGGAGGCAGCCGAGGAAGAGGCAGAGGCACTGGCAGGAACTCAAAGCAGCAGCTTTCTGCAGAGGAGCTGGATGCACAGCTGGACGCCTATAATGCAAGGATGGACACCAGCTAAACCGCTGACCTGTGTGGAGAGGACCCAGTGTTTCGTCTGCTCTCTGGGAGGAGGGGATGGGGACTGGGCTGTGTGGCCAATGACCGATTTGTTTCTTTTATGTTTTAAGATAGGATTTAAAAACTCATGTAAAGTTTTTTGTTTTTTTTTCTTTCTTTTCTTTTCTTTCTTTTTTTTTTTTTTTTTTTTTTAAATTCTGAAACAGACCTGTTTTGTACCAAGTTATTTTTGGGATAAATTTTACTGGTTGCTGTTGTGGAGAGAAGGTGGCATTTTCACCTTTGCCATAATAAACTAGAAATGTGTGTAGAACTGTGATGTCTCATGTATCCTGGGCTCTGCCCTGCAGGAGGGGAGGAAAGGGTGGTGGGCTTACGGGCACCTAGTGTGGGGTTAAAGTCAGTGCTCTGGAGGCTGAGCTGCCACCTTCCCATCTTCCTGGTTTCTAACTCCTTCCTCTCTTAACTTGATAGGTAGGAGGACACCAGAGCAGCAGCGGCCCTTTGCTTGGAGCTGCGTCTTCGCTCTGCCTGTGCCATGAGGTGAGGGTGGTAGTGGTCCACACTGCACTGTTGAGAATTCTTGCACAACCTGCACATTATTGGGCTGTTCCTATTACTCTTATGCTGTGTCTGAGACAGCTGATCCTGTGCTTTGTCTCCACGTACTATCACTTTATGCCACAGGGAAGGAGGTGTCAAAGTGCTCCCTTAATTCTGTGCAAGTGTGTCTTGGTTCTGGGACCCACACGTACCAGGATACCCAGCTCCCTCACAGGAAGTAGTGTAGTAGTTCAGTAGACTCTGTCTATATCTTCTCATGACTTTAGAAGTCATCTTTAGGTTATTTGAAAATTGTTAGACAAGGTAAATACCAAGTATATAGTCACTATACCATGTTGCTTAGGGAATAATGATGAGGGGAAAAGTCTATGGTTAGACCCAGGACAGCACACGTGCAGTCTTTCTGAATGTTTTGTGTTCTTAGCTGGTTGCATGTGGATGTGAGGCCCTGGCCATATTTGGCAGAATGGCTAATGGAAGCTGAAGCAGAGTTTCACATTTGGGGAGAAAGTGTTGGAAAGGACCAGTCATATGGTGATGGCTGCTGGCTGCTCCTTAGTGTGCGTGGGAGTTGGATGGGCAGCTGCATGTTCTGCAGGAAGGAAAATGCCATGGTCCCTGTTGGCATATAGACATCACCTGAAGTATGCGGCCTGGAAGGACTGTGGTGCTGGAGATGGGGAAATAGCATCTTAGGAAGAAAAGCTAGTGTTTGCTGTGGGGGACAGGCATGCTGTGGAGAAGGTGAAGGACTGGGCTGGCATTTTTAAATAATGTGATGTGACCAGCCCAAAGTGGGTTATTCTTGGGGGGGGGTGTGGAACCAGGGATTGAACTCAGGCCCTTGTGCTTGCCAGGGAAGCACTTAGTCCACCGAGCCATCTCCCTGGCCCGAGTTACTCTTTTTTGTGGTAGTTAACTTTGCTCCCTCATTTGCAAAGCAGGGAAGCCACCTTTTACTCTGGGCAGAGGGCTGCACTGGGATTTAAGTTTGGAGTTTGTTTTTTGTTTTTTGATGGTTCTTTTGGTTTTTTTTTGTGGAACACACACCCAGTGATTTTTTTTTTTTTTTTTTGCGGAACCGGGGATTGAACTCAGGCCCTTGCACTTGCCAGGGAAGCATTTACTCCACTGAGCCATCTCCCTGGCCCCTCACACCCAATGATTGAACTCAGGCCCTTGCACTTGCCAGGGAAGCATTTATTCTACTGAGCCATCTCCTCAGCCCCTTAAACTGGGAGGTTTTGAGACAGGGTGTCTACATAGTTGAAGCTGGGACTTGTTAGAGGAAGGAGGAAAGGGACTTCTTCAGTGCTTAGCAAGTAGAAACAATGATTTGGTGGGCCTGTCAGGCATTTAGAGGTTGGGACGGGCTCTCCTTGTGATGCAGTCACAAGCCAGTGTGCTCCTCTCCTGAGCTACAAGGATGAGGAGGTACTTGGTGTTTTCCAAGTCTTTCTCTACATTACTTGCTCAGAGGAATGTGCCTAAAAGGTCAGATAGAGTCAACCTCAGCGTGGCTGTGACATGGAGTCTGTGAAGGGGACACTGATACCTGCCCTCTGCTGGAGTCCTGTGAGGACATCTGGCCAGGGAAGAGCCTAGTGAATGAAGAGTCTCATGGAGTTGGCTTTGTTTGCTCATATCCTCTTCTGCTCTGGACTGGAGATTGAACCTAAGGCCTTCCCACTGAGTCCTACACACCCAGGTCCCTAGGTGGTTTTGTTTGATTAAAACAAGATCTCTTAGGGCTGGCCAGATAAGCGGATTAAAGTGCCTGCTTAGACAGATGCAGGGACCAGCCCCTGGGGTACACTGAGATGGTGACAGACTGGGCGTGGTGGCACCCCCCCTGTAATCCCACTGCTTGGGGGGACTGAAAACAGGATTACTACAAGTCCAATCTGTGTAGCGAGACCCTGTAGACTCTGTACTAAATACAATAAACATAGTAAAATCTTCCCACCTCAGTCTCAGAGTAGTGGAATTATAGATGTGTACTGCTATGTTCTGTTCTCAAGGCCTTTAGCAAAGGTGATTGACATCAACAAAATTCACCTTCTGAAAGGTACACAGTCCAGTGGCTATTGAATTCACAGCTTTGAAGTCCACTGCCATCACATTCCAGAATATGCATCACTCCTATGCAGGTTCATGCAGCCTATGGACCACCTGCAGCCTTGAGAAGTAATGTGGTCCCTAAGGACTGTCAGCTTCTAACTTCATTATGTGATTTTTTTTCCTCTGTATCATTCATGACTCATTTGTACAGTGCTAGGGTACAGAATTGACAGGTAGTGCACGCAACTCCTGTGTCTGCCACACGATCAGTTCAAACCCGCATGTATCGGACCTTCCACATGCTTATACGCCTTGGCAAGTGATTACCAATAACAATGTCTTCGGTCTGGGTAAGGTTGTGCACACCTGTAATCCTAGCACTTCAGAGGCTGCAGTTGGAGTTGAGCTTGAACTATAGTGAGAGCCTGTCTTGTCTCAAAAAAATAAATAAATAAAAAGGGCTGGGGATTTGGCTCAGCAGTAGAATGCTTGCTTAGCAAGCTAGAAGCCCTGGGTTCAGTCCTTGGCACCACGGTTCAATCCCCCAGCACCACATGCCAGCCAGCCC